TTCCACCCTGTGCAGGGTTCTTTTTCCACCCTGTGCAGGGTTCCTTTTCCCCCCTGTGCAGGGTTCCTTTTCCACACTGCGCAGGCACCCTGTGCAGGGTTCTCCCTGTGCAGGGTTCCTTTTCCACCCTGTGCAGGATTCCTTTTCAGGGTTCCTTTTCCACTCTGTGCAGGGATCCTTTTCCACCCTGTGCAGGGTTCTTTTTCCACCTGTGCAGGGTTCTTTTTCCACCCTGTGCAGGGTTCTTTTTCCACCCTGTGCAGGGTTCCTTTTCCACCCTGTGCAGGGTTCTTTTTCCGCCTGCGCAGGCTTCGTTTTCCACACTGCGCAGGCACCCGGCGCAGGGTTCTCCCTGTGCAGGGTTCTTTTTCTGCCCTGTTTTTCCTGCGCAGGGCTCTTTTTCCACACGGGTGCAGGCACCCTGTGCAACCCCACATAGATACGATCCTGACTTTTCAAGGATTCCGGTAGTGCGACGCGGACCTTGGTCAGGGTGGACTGGAAACGGGCAGAAAACAAACCCCTACGGGGCAAAAGGCAAACCCCTGGAGGGCGGGCAAGAAACCTCCGCAGGGAAGGAAAGAAACCCTGCAGGGCAGGAAAGAAACCCCTGTAGGGCAGGAGAAAAACCCTGCAGGGCAGGAAAGAATCCCCTGCAGGGCAGAAAACAAACCCCGCAGGGCAGGAAAGAAACCTTTGCAGGGCAGAAAAGAAACCCCAGCAGGGCAGGAAAGAAACCTCTGCAGGGCAGAAAAGAAACCCCAGCAGGGCAGGAAAGAAACCCTGCAGGGCAGGAAAAGAAACCCCTGCGCAAAAAAGACTTGCAGAGCAGAAAAGAAAACCCCTTGAGGGTGGACAGGAAACACACAGGGCAGAAAGGAAACCCTCGTAGGGTCAAGAAGTGACTCCTGCAGTTCGACGAGGACCTTCCTCAGGATGGAAAGGATACCCCTGCAGGGCAGGAAAGAAACCCCAGGGCAGAAAATGCACAGGGTGCCTGCGCAGGGTGGACAAGGAACCCTGCACAGGGTGGAAAAAGAACCCTGCACAGGGCACAGGGTGGAAAAGGAATCCTGCACAGGGTGGCAAAGAACCCTGCGCAGGGTGGAAAAGGAACCCTGCACAGGGTGGAAGAAGAACCCTGCACAGGGAGAACACTGCACAGGGTGCCTGCGCAGGGTGGAAATGGAACCCTGGCAGGGCAGAAAAGAAACCTCCGCAGGGCAGGAAAGAAACCCCTGTAGGGGAGGAGAAGAACCCTGCAGGGCAGGAAAGAATCCCCTGCAGGGCAGAAAACAAACCCCGCAGGGCAGGAAAAGAAACCTCTGCAGGGCAGAAAAGAAACCCCA